GGCGGAATATATAATTGTTTACTAGTTTTATTAAAAGGTTGTGATTTTGAGATCATTGTCTACCAATCAGTTGTACACACCTGGCGGAATATATAATTGTTTACTAAGTTTTATGAAAAGGTTGGTGATTTTGAGATCATTGTCTACCAAATCAGTTGTACACATCTGGGCGGAATATATAATTGTTTACTAAGTTTTATGAAAAGCTCGGTGATTTTGAGATAATCCTTTACCAAATAAGTTGTACATCTGAATGAAATATATGACTGTTCGCCAAGTCTTATGAAAATTTCTTTTAAGTAACGCTCAAGATCAATAGTTATAGACAGACAGGTTAGAAATGTATTTGTAGTGACTCTTGTCAATAATTATAATAGTTCGCGATCCCCCTATAATTTAGTAGACGTAAAATGAACAATTATACATTTATTTCGTGTTGTGTGTTTGATAAATTGGATTTGTGCTGTGAGAGCGCGGATTGGTCAACATGAGAAGTAGCAGTTAAACACACAGAATGTCTAAATGGAATGTAGCAGCAGCACAAGTTACTCCAATGAAAGACTGTTGCGTTAACGAGTTTGCGTAGTATGACACCATGGCAACTGACCATAGCAACAGGTAATAGGTTGATGCCAGTTTCAATAAGCTTGCTCGAAATGTTATTGTTTAGCTGAGGGTTTACAAACTCTGCATCTTACTTTAGTGAAATCTAATATATTTTGTTTTTCTAAACCATACTTTATTCTTTAATCATTCGAATACAGGATTTCTATGGCTGAAATCTTGGGTAATGAATTTCTTATTTCAATGCTGAAAGTGAAAGTTCAAAGTTCTTTGCTTCCCACGTAGAAAAACTCTCAGGTAGTGACTAATAACTGGCGCAAATAGCAGCTCTCTGAAGGTAGAGGTTGAAAGCGCACGAAAAGTAGTTTCTTAACCAGTTATTCGTAATAATTAGAAAAACATTACACATTATATGGGGGCACGTGTCCCCAGTAATCTTCCCCCTATATATACTTGTACCTTACAAAGAGCCTGAAACGGCGTGAATATAGTAACAGAACACCAAAAGCAGTTTATTACGTTAACGTATATTTTTTACATCAAACAGTTCTTGTACTACTGATGAGGCTGCAATAACGAAATGCTGGCTGAAATAAAAAAGGTTTTGTATTATTATCTGGACGGTAAAAGTTGTTTTTCCCAACTTTATCGCAAAAATGTCTAAATCCCTCCACTATGCACCATGATTTCTGAAAAACTTTCCAAACAATACAATTGAAATAAAATACAATCTCTCGTTTGTTTAAACGTACAATAGATTGTTGGGTTATTTCTTTATTGATACATAACGAACCACAATTAAAGAAAGTTGAATGTCACAGAGTTCTGATTTCTAAAACTTTCGTCTTAATTCACCCTGGGTCTCATATTTTTGATAAACAGGCTTCCTTGGACGACCAAAAAGAAAGAGTTATGAAATTGAGATCCAGGCTGAATAATGAAACTAAAAGTGCAACAAGCCTAATATCGTAAATTGGAACATAAATAGCGACTCCCTGTTTCCTTAAGATGTGTGTAAAATTTCGAATGTCATTCGACAAATACATTGCCTTACGGGAATGGTTTTAAAAGAAGGGAAGTTGAAAAGGGCTGTCCTTTATAAAAAAAAAAGAAAAAGTGCGCGTGTGTGTGTGCGCCTGCCCCTCAGATCTGTATTGATCTGAGAAAATAATACAGAAAAACTAAAGTGGATATGTTAATACTACGAATGTTTGGTTCTTTCGTACAGTATTTCGAAAATAATGCCTCTCAGATCTGTATTGATCTGAGAAAATAATACAGAAAAACTAAAGTGGATATGTTAATACTACGAATGTTTGGTTATTTCGTACAGTATTTCGAAAATAATGCCCCTCAGCGGGAAATTTGAGGGCTCACACCGCTAAAAACCGGGTTGCGATACTTGTGGATGGTACAGCACAGATAGCCCATTGTGTAGCTTTGCGCTCAACAGTAACCAATCGGCCTAAACAAACCGAAGATTTAATTCCTTAAGATGGAGTTCCGAGTTTTACTTCAACACCGTTAGGGTATGTTATCCTAGGTATTAAAATCTTGGCTTGGCTTAACATATTTGTTCAAAATAAGCATAATGATTCTTAATATATTAAAAGTTACATTGTACACATAGGAGATTATATTAGCTCTTCAAAGAGTTGCGACTCTTTTAATGAAGAGTGTGTATTCAAAGCAACAAGTCATTAGAATCTACCTGTTAGTGTAATGTTGAATCATATACTTGCCACCAGATTCCAACATTAAAAAAAAATCTTAACGAAACATATCTAATTCTCTCTTGATTGCTTTATCCAAAATTTACGAAATATTATATAAATTGTAATAAACATTACACAGCAAGCTGACAGTTATGTCTACATGTTATTCTTTATTTTTGTTAGGTATGACCTGTCGGGACTCAAGAACCGCCACTCACAGGCCACTTCGAAATGGTTGTGATGACGTCTGGTCATGGAACCGAAGAGACAAGTCCCACGAGGTCAGATTGTATGGTTTTCGGATGAGAACAGCACAGTTTCATCCTAACTGGAGTAATGGAACAGCAGGAGTCCGAGGGACGAGGATACTCAACCGTGGCAGATATTATTGGGAAGTGAAGGTATCGGAGAGAATCTTTGGCACAAGCATGATGTTTGGCATCGCCACCAAGAAGGCACGTCTACATGTTGAAGCCTTTGTGAACATGCTTGGCGAAGATGATCAAGGATGGGGTCTGTCACATAAAGGTTTACTATGGCATAACGGAGAATGGAGAAAATTTACAAAACCTTTCCGTGAAAACGAAGCCACAACGGTTGGCCTTCTCTTCGATGGCCACCAAGGAACATTGACTTACTTCAAAGATGGTATATGTCTTGGAATAGGCTTCTCAGGCTTAAATCTAGTCGAAGATGATCTATATCCGGTGGTCTGCTCTACAGCAGCTAAAACTGAAATGACATTGTCACACATGCGACGAGACTTTTATAATTTACAAGATCGATGTCGAGCAGTAATACTTAGCATTATGAAGACAAATAACGATATAAGGGACCTTAATTTACCAACTAGAATAAAAAGTTATATTCAGGAAGCCATGGAGTCTCAGGAAACTGGGAAAATACGCCGAACAGACGGTCATTCTTCTCCTTACTTCAAAGCTTTACCGTGCAACATGTTTCCTTTACCAGGTGTTAAAAACCCTTGTTTGTATGTATGAGAATTAAATCAATAACTTAGGGTTTTTTTTTATTTATTTATATCAATACTTGTTTTACCATAACCTAGAAATACAAGCTCTAGTATCTTATTTAATTTTCTTATATATAACAAACTTTTTGTTTTATAGATGTACAAAACCTCTATGCTAAATGAAGCAAGTAAACATTCCTTTATCTTTCTACAGATCCACTAATGATTACAATTCACATTAATATTTTAGCCGAGATATGGTGCCATATAAGTACTTTCTTGATCTAGGATTGTGTGTTGTTTAAGATGTGTGTGAGTGTGATTTTGTATACATTAATTAGGGCTAGCTTGATCAACCTAGAGGGTTAAATCATCAGTTTTAACCCTTTAGTCTCCTTCGCCAAGATTCATCGTGAGAAAGGCTGATCTAAGATTATAACGCCGTGCTTTATCACTTTCTAATAACATTTTTCTTTAAGGTTAGATGGAAATATTAACGTTATCGTGATTGTTTTTGCACCTCTGTGTTTCTAAATTAAGGACACTGACATCAGTGACTATATACGTCAGCTTTCACAAAATGATCTCGTTATGTACATAAATATTTATGTAATGTATATATACATATATGTATTTTCATTTCTTAGCTAGACCAGTTGTTTTTATGACCCCCAGTAGTTCAGAGGCAAGCCTAACGGCTTATAACTCTAAAAACCGGGTTTCGATATTGTGGTTGATAAAACAGATAGCCCAATTTAGTAACTTCGCGCTTAACTACAAACAAAACAAACAAATTGTATTGTAATTTCATTTTTTTTTAATCTGCTTGGCTTGAAAAACATTTAAAACTATTTGAAGTACAATACCGCTGTTGTGTCTTCGAGGAGCGCGAGTAGTGTTGATTCGTAGTTTACTCTTAATAAGTACAAAATATACGAGCTAATGTGGATTAGTGAATCGTAAAACATTTTTCATTTTACAGTTAGTGTCTGTCTGTGAAGAACAACTATTTCGAGTAGAAAGGGTAAAAACATATGTTAAAAAATTCTTGAAATGTATACAATATAATTATAAATCGTGAACAAGGGTATTAATTAATCCAGTGTGTTACCAAAAGGCATACTTCAGCCTTCAGATACAAAAGTCTCACTTGACATGTTGCCCTCTTACGGACATTTTGCTCACTTACTGGTGACGACTTTAGGAAGAAACAAGATATTCAATAATAATACAAAATATTGATAACTTTATTAGGAATCGCCTGCCTTTTTTTTATTTACTCGACAAAGTATAAAATTATTTTGAACTGAATTATGATTTCAAATATGTTTCGAGTTTTAAAAAATTCGATCTTAGCTTTTCGCGAAAACAGCAACAAAACGTAAGATAAGGGTAATATTTTCAGGTTATTGTTGTAACCCTTTTCAATTTGAGTTTCTACAGGGTCAGATCTTTGATGCGTAACTTGGAATTCCGCTTTCTTATCAAATGTACATGAAATTCTTTGTCACCAAATACAAACAAGTAGATATACATTGAATAGAATATAGAACGTGTCCTTCAACAGCATTATTTTGTAATCTAACAAACGAGGCTCATGGAGTCTGATGAAAGAGTAATACTTTTATTAGAGTAAATGGAATTTATAAGAGTTGTTTATGAAAATGAAAATTTAAATTGTCATTTTTAAGCAGCAAACATTAGATATAAAACATAGCATACGCTTTTCACATGTTGGGGCATTTATAAAATAAAAATCTAGAAAATGAAGACGAATGTACTTAACTGTCATGAGTGAAAATTGTTTGAACTATGCACTTAAAAGAATAAGCACTGTTTTGTATTTCACTCAGTAGTTTGGAGCGTGTTTATACATGTGTTTACGAGTGTATTTATAATATATATTTATTTGACATGCACTGTGACAAGCGCAGGGATGGGTGGCAATCTAGTCAATAAACCCTCAGATTTTCAACCTCGAGTCAAGGTTCTGTAAATTGAGGCATTTAGAATGTAAACTATTACGCCATCTGTATGTTTGTATAAGTGTTGTACGTTTTGTAGCTTTTTCAACAACTTATTGTTATTTCATATGTACATTAAAGGGTTTCGGCACTGAATAGCCTGTTTTTAAACAGTTGGAAAAGCATTTTTGAGAATCTGTGTTCTGGGAAGTCCGTATGTGTAGAGTTAACAGTTATGTATGTAAATTGTATGATGGTAATGATAATAATATGTATGTATTGAGAATAAGAAATATTAAATTTAGGGCTGTAATTGTTTGATTAAAAAGTCTTATTACCTATAGTAACTCCCATCAACCGGCAGCAGACGATTTAAATTGTTTTTACTTAAAAAAATAGTTGTTTCTTGTATCTATTCAAAGTGTTACTATTTCATGTTTTCAAAAATATTTCGTAGGTTGATTTGGTATCCAGTATGTGAAATATTCATAAATCGGTGTTTTAATTCAATATTTTAATCTAGTATTTTTCTTTTTATCCAGTCTTAATTGCAAAACAGGGTTGCTAATGTTACTTATTTGATACCGTGTTGTGAAATATTGTATACTTGTTTACTGTGTGTATGGTATGTCCGTTTATAAATAAAGCATTGACTTGACTGATGTTTACTTATTTTTTCACTTAGTATACGTTAATATATCTGAATATTGTTGGGTATCGTCATCTATAGATAGACAGCTGGATAGAAACTTACCAAAAAGGAGTACAAAATTTACA